TTTTTTTTTTTTTTTTTTTGTGGAAGAACTCAAATTGCATTATAAACTTAGGATGAGGCCGGGAATCCCTCAACAAACAACCCGGAGAGGGGGCTGGGGCCATTACCCAGCATAGGCTTAAAATGGAAACCGGGTCCAGCGTCCCATCCACTCCCATTCCTAAGAGATCTTCCAAAAGTCCCATTCTTTTCTGTGTTTTCTTTGTTTTTGTATTTGTTTTTTTTTTTTTCAGTTTTTGTTCGAAATACCATTTGTGTCATTGTGACAGTACCGGGGCCCGGCCTTCAAGCAGCAACCGGGTCTTCCCTTGGCCGACCCCCCTAAGGCTGCGGCGTGTATACGGGAAGGCCCGCGACTGATAGCTGGGCCAGGTACAGAGGATGAGGGGAACCAATATCTCCTTACTTTATCGGGTAATACATGTAAAATAAATACTGACTGTGGGATCACGAGGGCTGCACGGCAGGATTTGGCTCACTCAACTGCCACACAAACTCTTTTCTATCCTATCCAATTGCTAGTGGGACGATGGTCCAGGGGTCTAGTCCCACCTATAGCGTTGAGTTTTCTCAACGCTGAGCTTTCTATCACGTGTGGCATGGTGGGACGGAGCTCTGCCGTTGATGTATTGCGAATCTAACGGTACCAAAATACAGGAGAATAACCTATTAGATTTAGTCATTTTGTAATTCTTTGATGTGAAATCCGTTTTGTAGTATGCGTTGGCCCTTTTGGTTTGGGCAAGAAACCATTTTCCATTGAGAAAACTACCCTACCGAGGGTAGGGTACATTTCTTAACTGCAGTGCCTTTCCTTTTTCTTGTTTTTTTAGACCTCATTGCATCCTGAAACGGAGGAACTCTGACAGCTGTGTTTCGCTGTCTGGTTTCAAACTCGTTTCCTTCTTTGGGCAATGAATGCATTTGGCCATCCACATCGTCCCTGTCCATTTTACAAATGGTGACCTCCAGTCCCCTCACCACAGGCCCTCTGTTCTTTGTTTCTTGGATTTCTTCGGCAGTACCGAGGCGTCATTTACTTCTGGAGTCAAGGATCGTGAACCAGTTAAATGGCGGGCGATTATAACCGCGACGGTGACCGTAAGCGGAGAAGAGCCCATTCTTGTGAACGAGGAAGGCGTGACAATCGTGACAGCAACTATGATCGTCGAGGCGGCTCGCGGAGCAGCAGTAGAGAAGACCGAAGAGATGACCCTCCACGAAGCGGACCACTTGTTTGTTTCGGGTGTCGTGTCACGGGGCACTATCGAACGGATTGTTGGAGATATTGGACCGATCCAATCGCTAGACGACAAATGGAGGCCGATGGCTTCATTTGTCCGCTGGAGTATATACAGCGGAGTACGACCGGGTCACCTCCAAGGGATGGCGTTCAACCACGCGTAGTGGCAGAGGATCATGTGCCAGGCAACCACCTTGACGAATTAGGAAGAACGGTGGCGTCGATTCAAGAGTTTATTGAGTTGGAGCGAGCACGACGGACTGAACGGGAGCAACAAGCACGTGAATGCAAGGAGGCTAGACGTGTTGAAGCAGAAGCCCGAGCGGCTGAAGCCGAACGAGCCGCACGTAAAGCCGAGAAGCAGCGTAAGCGAGAGGAGCAGATGAAGATGGCTAAGGCCGTGGAAGTGCAACTATCCCTAAGATTGGGAGATATTCGGGAGGAAATCAAGACAGAGGTTCGTAGAGATGTCGCCGGGACTCTAGTCAAGAGCCAAACAAAGACTTTCGTAAACGCTACTGGCAAAGGCAAGGAAGCCGCAGTGCAGGATGTACCTTCTTCATCCGGCGTGAACAACGAAGTCGAGGCAATTACGGAGGGCACCGGGAGCTTGTCTATTCAAGAGAAACGGAAGCGGGGTGACGTGGAGATTCCGGTGGAGGATAGCCCCCCCGTCATCACTCTTGCGAAGCGCACCAACAAGCGGCTGGGCGTGCGACCGATTCGCCTCTCTGACAGGCTGCAGCGCTCGAGATCTCGGATCCCGGTAAGGAAAACGAATCGTCGTGTGGCCACTAAGGCCCTTACCGCAGTTAAACCTTCGGCTCCTGACGCCCTCATGGACCGAAAGATCTTCCTCGATAATACAAGACGCGACTTGTCAAAAATTGACTATGACACACTGCGCTCGATTTGTAGGGAGGAAGGAGTAAACTACGCCACTAAGGTGCATGCCATCTTTGATATCGCCGACATTCTGCCAAATTTCGAGGCATTTCAGAACCTTGCCGGCGAGGCTAATCAGTCCAGCAACGAAGGCAGCGACGAAGGGGCAGCAGCATGAAGTGGATTTAGTACGGACCAACTGATCCTGATCTCTGACGTGATTTCTTCCTCCAACATGTGGCAGACGATGAGTTAAACACGGATTTTTTTGTTGTTGATCTTGTCTTTAGCATTACGTGGTCACTTTCGTTGGTTAAACAAATGCATTGACTCGTGGCTTCTTCTCTTTCAACGATACGGATTGGACTTTTTGGAATTGCCTAATTGTGTCTATGTGATTGCTTCCCTCCGATGTAAGTCGTAATACATTGGCAAGACCTCTCGTTCTCCTCTCGTACGATGGAGGGAACATGTCTCCGTTTATAAACGCAACGCTAAATGTATGCACCTTTATCGTTGGTGGACGTGCGTGGATATTGAATCCTTTGCCTTATTGCCTGTCGAGATTGTCGAAACCGTCGATCTCGTTACGGTGGAGCCCTTTTCTAAATACAACAGGTAAAACGGTGTGTCGAAAGAAGAATCCTCGTCATGGCAAACGTGAAAGAGGAAGGAGGCCGCATGTTGAACATGAGGGCTATCCTATTCGGACGGTTAAGGTACGCATCAGTCCCGGCGACGCATGGTCAGTGAAGGTTTTTTACGTCCTACACTCTCAAGACGATTGTGGACTACGTCAGGTTTTATTGCTGATTGAGGGTGGTAATACCTGGTGTAGTAAATGGCGTGGGGTACTAAAGGTTTTTGGTTCCTCCTCCATTTTATATAACAGTGTAGTAGGATGTCTCGTTAGCGAGAGATTTCCAGCGTCTCAAGTACTGGATTTCCATTCGTCCATCGGTCCTTGTTTCACTTTTACGTAACCCGAAACGATTGGAACGACTGAGTAAATGAGACTTGGAATCTTTGTCTAGCTTGTTTAATGCGATCAAAGACTTTGAGAAGAAAAGCACACGTGCTTCCTCGGACGTTTGGTTGGTAGATGCATAAAGGATGGGTTTGGCTTCAATTTGTCTACTCGTATCGTAGCCTGTTTATTGTTTGATGATCGGATCAGAATTTTTGAAGTACGTAAGTTGGTCAATGATAAGCTGGGGAGTTTAGTTCTTCCTCCTTGCGTCATCAGGCGCGCACGTAGATCGCTTCACATAATGTGGATACGCAATCCAAATGTCACGAATCTATTGCACAACCACCGTCCGTTTGCACGACTGGAGGTGCTAACCTGCTCTTGTGCAGGGTTGCCGTACCCACGGGTACGAGGCCACGTGCGGGTCCGGTTACGTGATCTGGATAACTTACCTCCTCTATTATTGAATGCGAACAACGTTCTGAAAACACGTCGCTCGGATAGAGTGGCGAAGTTGGGTGCATAGATCAAGTCCTCTTTCACGAATTAGGCCAACGTTAAAGGTCAGTCTGTGCATGTTTCGAGCACTAAACTGTTGCGGTGCATGACAGTTAACGTTGACGACACAGCCCGCTCTCTGGATCTGCGTGATGTTTTTGGAATTAAGAAGTGTTTTGAAGGTTTGGTTCTCACTCCTCTGGACCGCAATCCAGGGGAGACTTTGATTTTGTGTCCTCTGCTATACTACGAGGGGATGATGGATCTTTTCATTCGAAGTTATGGGTATGTACCTACTGACAAGGAGACTGCTGTAGTTGTTGCAGAGATGAAGACCGATTTGAAGGAGGAAGGTCTTCTAGGTTTCGCACATTGGGATGCAAAGGGGACAATCGGCCAAGCCTATGCTATGCCTAAGCATAAGGATCTTGACCGTTTGCGTCCAATTTGCCCCTCATACCTTGAACCAACGACAATGGTAAGTAAGATTGTTGCGAGAGCATTAAATCATCTCCTGCACTGCCTCACACAAGACTCGAACTTCGATCTCAAAGCTATCTCTGACTTGAACTGTACTCTGGGTGTGTACAATAAGAAGCTGAGACGCATGCACATCGAACCTAGGGTGATCGCTAGATCCTTCGACATTAAAGATATGTTCAACCGTTTGCCGCACCAGGATATCCAGGATAAGGTGGATTGGTTGTTGAACTACCATTCTTCCAAGAACAGGACCTTCGTTCGCGTTAACTCCAGAGGTAAGGGTGCGAGTTTCAGTGTCACCACTGGTTACGACCATTGGAAGAGAGTTTATTTTGCCGACATTCGACATTTCATCTCTTTTGAGCTCTCGCATACTTACACGATCGCCCTGGGTGTACTGCTGCTGCAGGTAGTTGGAATTCCGATGGGGAAGAGCACGAACCCTCCCCTCCCGTGTATTATGTGCGCCAGAGATGAATTCCGGTTTCTACAGACTTTGGGGAGATTGGGTAGGTACGTGTCCGGGGTGAAATTAATTGATGATGTCAGCCTGTTTGTAACCACTGTGAAGTTAAGCAAGGCGGAGGTCGACTACATTTTTGCGACCTTTGAAAGATGTTACCCCGATAACCTCTGTCTGAAAAGAACGGATGACGGATCCGGGACCTGGGATTTTTTGGGTTGTGAAATAAGCACGCATAAGTTTTTTCCCTTTGTTGAATGCGTGCAAGTTTCGAAGAACGAAGTATCTATGTGAAGTGAGGAACGCGTGACCTTTTTTAATGGTCAATCCTTTTTGTCCTGGGGTAGTAAGTTGCAGAAAAGTGTTGTTTTTGCCAGCCATTTACACCGGATCGACCGTAACACATCGGCCAAACATGAAATTCCCCGACGAGTTATCAGCCTGAAACGGGAGTCAAGATTGAAAGATATGCCGACGGATTTCTTTGTCCGAGTTTTGAAACGATTTGCACACAGGCGTGACGCCCATTGGAAGTTGACTGTCGATTTGATCTAGTGGCTATGCAGTAACTACGTAGTGACAGGGAAGACACTTTCTTGACTTGTTTTTGGTTTGAGTAAGACTTTTAAGCATGTGTAGCCTAATATGTGTCTGCAAACTTAGGACCCAACGCAGGGACAGGGAGGCCTCTTTCATTGTTTTATTAGTTTGTTCTGCTGTAGGTTTGTTTTTTCGCAGTCGGTTAGCCGGGTCTATGAGTCCCGACCATGCCAATATGTTTTTGTGACAGACATTTGCCCCCCCTTTGATTTGTTGTGGCTTTGGCTGACAAGTACCGAGATAGCCGCTTTATCAGGATATTCGGTATCCACGGGTATATAAGCAATGATGTAGTTAGGATCGTCCTCTTTCGGACCACGGATGCCTTCGGGTACCGTGGGTGGCTTGTCGGATCGAACGGTGGTTTCTTGGGTGTTGCGGAACAAATGTTGGTCGGTTTTGTACATTTTACTATCTTGTTTTTCTACCCGCGTGTGTACGCTCACGTTGTGTGATCATCTATGGTGAATGTTTTCTCTCGTATACCTCTGTGTTCTTGAAGGTTTAATTTAATTACATTTATTAAGTTTTCAAAAAATTGAATCCTACGAGGCTCTAAATTCATCCCGTATGTATTTAAAATGTATATATATATATATATAAAATAATTTTGTTAAGTTTATTCTATTTTTTTTAACCCAAATGTTGAAATATTTACGTCCCAAAAATTGTTTTCAATTCAAAAGTATATTAAAATTTTAAACAACATTGATCTTGGCAGGTTTAATTTACTTATATTTATTAAGGATTCAAAGGTTTAATTTAATTTACATCTTCTCTAAAATAGTATGTACTCTTGAAGGTTTAATTTAATTACATTTATAAAGGTTTCGAAAAAATAAATCCAATGAGCTTCTCAATTCATCTCGTATGTATTAAAAAAAAATACTTATGTTTAGTTTATTCAATTTTTTTTTAAGTTAAATGTTGGAACATTTACATCCCAAAAGTTTTGTCAAATTCAAAAAAATACTCAAAATTTAAACAATATGGATCTTGGCAGTTTCAGAACATATTTTGTACATGTTTGTCAAAGTGTAATACAATTGAACTTTATTAATAGTTTTGAAAGGGTGGGTCTTAAGAGATTCACAACAAATCTCACCCTTGCTTGTTGAATTTTAGTATTATTTATCTTAATTCAACTTTATTCATAAGTTTAAGAAGACTATAAGTTTCGTCAAAAGTGGATTTTTTTGTAAAAAGTGAACTATTAAAAATGTGAATTGATACAGTGTTTAAGAGCCAATAGGGCATTATGAAGCAGTTAAAATAAGGATAAACACAGTTTTAAGCTATGTCGATAGGATGAATAATGTTGTGGGGAATTGTAAACCCTTCCTACAGGGAATGATCATTCTTGTTTCCTCTCAATTTCATGGTTGAATGCAAATTGAAGGTTTATATGACAATGTCCTGCTGCAGGAGTGTTGTGAAGAAATTAGCATTTTCTTTCCTAATTGGCACTTCACCTAACCCGCCCACATTTTTTAAAGTATAACCTTCCATTAAAATAAAGTAAAAAAAAATTCAAACTGACCCAACCCACCACGTGTTTTTTGAAAATTTCCTCCTATATCCAACTCGATCGTCACCAAAAAAAAACCTTCACCCTGACCCACTCACACCCGCGAAAACAAGAGTACCCATCCCCACCCGGTACCTTATTATTTTCCACTCACACCAACCCGGTTTCCATTATCTCCGTCCCTTCAAAACTTTACGCACACCATAGTAACGTGACATCTTCGGATTACGACATGAAAATTTGAAGCATCTCCACCTTGTGCCGTCCTTGGATAACGGCGTGAAAATTTGAAGCACTTCATAAGATTGAAATTGGGGAGTGAACCTTGCGACATGTCGTGGTTAGGTTCGATCCTCGTTGTTTTAATGAGAGCGAACATCTCGTTGTTGGGTCGTGGTCCAGGTGCCACCTCTAGAGAGCAACACATTTTTTCAAGAAGGATCCCAAATTTTGATTTACTATTAGCGCGACTTTTTTTTTTTAGGACATAACTTCTTTCTTTCCAAGGGGCCCTAAGGTGTACACTCTCCGTTTCCGAGACCTCAAACTTTTAAAGTCCATAGGTGGACCGCAACTGGAAAATATGTATTGGTGGGGTGGGGGGGGGGGGAAAGGGGCTCTTATGGGTTGTCTTGGGTTTGTGGGTTGGGTCACCCAGGCCCAGCGGTCATTCTCCAGTCACCCACTCATTCGGGTCATCCTCCCGCCACCCACACATGCCAGATTATCAAGACCCACACCTGACCCAATGCCTCGTGGGTGGGGTGGGTGTGGGTGGGTGTGGGTCTGGGTAC